TTTTTTTTTTTTATTTTGAAAATCAACAGTTTGCATTATGCAATTAAAAATCCTAACCAATAAAGTAGGGAATAGCTATCCAACTGTTGTTTTAGTTGTATGTTACTTCATATTATAGTTATATCAATGTAAATCATTGTTTTCCCTTGTGTTTCTCATTCTTTCCCTGCCATGTCGTAAAATGTGGTGAACCCATCGCTGTATTTGCTCCAAAGCAAATATTGGCCTTTCTAGTTTTGTTTCTTTTTGCCAATTTCTTGCTCTATTAATTCAAATATTAACAAATTGAATTACTTGTACATGTTTCTTACTTTTTTATCATCTCCTACCTGACTATGTACTCAGTTGTCGATAAGTCGCAGTTATAAAAACATGTACGGTCAAAGGTCAAACTGTGACAATCCGTCTTTCGGGTTCCTTCACAAAAGAACAAAGGGCGCTAATTTTCTGCCCCGTCATCTTTGCCCCGTACCTCATTTTATGTAGTACATGTATAACAACGTTTTTATGGAGTATGGTTCGTTCCAAATTATGGGACACATTCAGTAATGATTAGGCCTAGCTGACCGCGCACAACAATTTTCACCCCCCCCCCGAAAAAAAAAACGTTTGTGAGTAAAAAAAGTCTTTGTGGATACTTTCAGGATGTCAAAGGTCAACAGCAAAAAAAAGATAAAAAGATGCAAATGTTAGAGAAAGGGAAGCAGGGATCAAATTACCACGTGCTTGCACCAAGAAGTCTTCCAAAATCAAAGAATATGTGAAAGAACAAAAACAATTTATTGCTTATGACATGTACAAATCACATGTACATGATATACAGTCTCATTTTCTTCGACACTGTGGCAAATCATTCGAACATAAATGTGCCACATTACTACACTTAAGGTAATTGTTTCGTAATTCGTAATTCGAGTTGATTGTCTGTTTTCGTTATATGATTAAATGCCACTTATTAGTTGCAATTTCCCACACAATTGGGAAATAGTTTAAATTTTGGACCAGCAGACTTTTCATGTCTCTTTTTGTCATTTCCTTGCTCTGTTAATTCAAATATCAACAAGTTGAAATACTTCTACATGTTACTTATTTCTTGTCATCTCCTTCCTGACTATGTAGTTGTCGATAAGCCGCAGTTATAACAAGTGTGGTGTTGAAAACACCTTGGCGACGCAGCGTGTTATAGGGTAGGAAGATGTTGTGCATTGTTGTTGAGTGACATTTTGACTGGTACTGTTTTCCCTTTCCAAAAATCATATCCAGTTGCTTGAATAATTCCTTTCTGGCGTACACTTACTATGCCTTGTGATATCAGACTATCCTCGTGTTTCCCCCACAATATAAGGTCATTCAAAATCAACACTTCAATTATTTGGGTCCATCAAGTTAATTTCCAGTCGACCCTCCAACATAAAAGATTGTTTTCCCCATAGGTTGTTTTCCCCTGAGCTTAATTAAGGTCATATCAAATCAACACTTCGCCATTTCAACATATGTATAACTTGTACAAGAGGCTATACACCACATTGACTTGACTACGGCCTACGTGCGGTAATGCAGAGGAAAAGACAGAACGTTGACCCCTGACCCTGTCCATTTGCCACTGACGCACAGCTAGTAACCAGGAAGTGCCTGTACCACGCACACACCTGATTGATCAACGGCTTCTACAATACATCCAAACCACAATTTTCTTGCTTCACATACAACATATGCACGTCGACACCGACAATGTACACTCACAATATCTTGTGTTATCAGACTATCCTCGTGTTTCGCAAAATATAAATCCAGTCCTTGGAGCGGGTGTTCCAAGGCGAGTATACATGTCATTAAGACACTTGTCAAGTGTTGACGTAAACTTCCTGAAGCACGTACGGTCAAAGGTCAAACTATGCCAATCTGTCTTTCGGGTTCCTTCACAAAACAGAAAAAAAGGATGGGAATTTTCTGTCCTGTTATCTATGCCCTGTACATCATTTTACGAACAGGTATGTAGTGTGACAACGTGATTACCATATTTATTGAGTACGGTTCGTTCGAAATTCTGGGATACAAGCCTTCCAAGAAGTCGTCAAATGTGGAAGAACAAAACGAAGAATTTATTGTTTGGCATACCATGCTCTGTGTGTTCTTTCATTCGTTCAACTTTCCTGGCCACAAATTTCAAAATGAAGGCAATTGCTTTTTGTCAAACTTTTTTTAATTCGCACGCTTGTATCAGTTTTGGGTTTCAGACTGCGTTTTCTGCCACATCATTTTCTTTTACCACAGATTTTACCTCAAACATGTCTCTACCCGATAGTTTGAAGACAGAATCTGAGTAAAAAACATCCTAGGTTGAGGGACGTTTTAGTCAGAACTGGGTCAGGGACGGGTATGAGTCAGTGTTGAGTAAACCCAAACTATGTTAAATACCACAAACCGCCTGGGGGCACTAATTATGATAAGGCAGGGTGTAATCAGTCTCAGTTGTCATCTGGCAGTAAGTTATGTTCAGTACACTGAATACTGAGAAATTGGTTGTCGACAGTATGTGGTTACCGACTATGCAACAACTGGTCGACAGTTATCAATATTTAGTCGCCTATGTAACGTTATCTACTAAAATGTTCTACTTTCTTTGATTCTGTGATATACATGATTACATTAGATACCATTTATTAGTTGCACAAAATCGGGAAAGAGTCCAAAATCTGGATTAGACTTTTTTTGTCTCGTTTTGGTCAGTTCTAGAAGTCTTCTAAAGTCAAAGAAGATATGTGAAATAACACAAGCAATTGTGTGTTCTTTCATTTGTTCGACTTTCATGACCACAGATTTCAGAATAAAGGCAACTAGTTTTTTGGTCCAACTTTTCGGACGCTCGCATCAGTTTATTTCAGGATTAGCCGATGGGTGTCATCTATGTACTAGTAGTTAAATCAGCACATTGTTGATGCATTGCTCATGAACCACCTACACGTGCCAATAACAAGTACCTTGTCACCGCAATAGTTGTACAAATTAAAGCCAAGAAAAAATAGGTGTTCCGAGGACATTATAGTCTGTATAATATCCTTGAGTGTTCTGACCGTATGACCTTTTGGCTCGTATAGGTCAAAATATACATAATTTGCCGGGGGATGTCACGTGTTCTGTTTCATCTTTTGTTTCAAATTCTGTTTATCACTTTTCCTACTCATATTTACTAGTACTTCAGATTACGTCGCTATCGAACTTTTTTTCTTTTGCAAAGATATGTCGATGTATCAAATATCTTCGTTTTACATTTAAAAGGCGGTTTCTGAAGGACTGTTCCGTACCCCGGCACTTCGTGACAGAACCGGTTTGGTTGCCTGTCCGCCTGAGGGCAATAATGTCAGCAAAACAACATAAATGTCACGAAATCTCGCACCACCAAATGCTCACCTGGGTAAATACACCTGTTACCTATACTGAGAAGTCGAGAGGAACTGCAAATCCCCGAGGAACCAATTAAAATACATCCCATTTGGGGAGATGTTTACGTGGAGACAATAGCTATAGCAGGCTGTTGTAACAGATTATCCTTTTATGATGTTGTTAATAATCGGTAGGCGACAATTTTGGAAAAGGTGTCAACCGCGTAAAATAGGCGGTATTGTGTGTGCACTGTTTAGAGGACATGGTTTCGAAAAGTAACTTTAAATTTGGCACACATGTACATAACATACATCCTCACACGAAAAGAAATTCATCTTTCAACTTTAAGGTTTGCGATTGAAAATCGGTTTATTCACAAAAGTGCGTTTGTCATTCGTACAAAACAAACCATAGAAACAGGTGGTCGCCTTGTAGACATTGAATTCCAATCGGCACGCAAACAATGTTACTGTCTCGACCACCCATGTACATTAATATCAAATAACTCAACGAAATAAATTCTGCGTCCGTAAGACATGCTAAAGGAGGGACATGTTTCAAGTTAAGGCAAAAGGACGCTAAAAGTGGTAACTATGCACATAGTGAATAAAACATGGGACAAAATGTGAGCATTATATAAGTCCTCATAATTGGGACATGTAACACACAACAACAAAAAATTATCCTATTTAAACCCCATGAAAAATGTACGTAACCACGTTCTTACTATATACACAATATTGTAAACTACTGTATTGTAGTGTTCCAATCATAAAAAAAAAACTCCCTTTCCTTGTATATATACACCACCAAGTCCCCACAGAAAATGCCATCCTCAGAATACTAGTACACAAGTGATGTCCACTTTAAAAATATATAAAAGCCACATACCTGTATCACTTATATTTTCACTTATCGCTTGATACCCTGAAATATAACCTTGATACAAAAGTTTCTTTTTTTTGGTGAGGTCATAAATAATCGAGTCCAACTACTAACCGAATGTTGCAGAATGAGTTAAGTTATTACAACATATATGTAGTAGAATTGAGATTATTGAACCAGAGTCTTCGCAATTTTCTCGAGTTTGGCCGAGTTTTTCTCTTACAGAAAAAATTCCGGAGATTGTTTTGACGCATATTAAAGTCTTACTGCGTTCACAAAAGAAACGTCTTTTTTTTAGTAAGTGACGTCGAAGAAGGGTAGAAGGTCTCCCCTGTCGCGCATTTCTTTGACGTGGTTGCGGTAGACGGCGAGGACCCGGCGGCACTCCTGCTCCAACCCCGCCACGGTGATCCTGGTGGTGTCTGCCCGCTGCTTGTAGCCCTCGAACACCCGCTGGTACAGCGCGACGTCCAAGAGGCGCAGCTCCGCGATGCCCAGGCAGTTCTTCACGCTCAACTTCGAGAAGGACTCCCGACTGAAGGCCTCCGCCAGCGACATCGCCCCGCCGCTCTGGCGCAGGGCTTTGAGAATCAGAGCGTACCTATCAGAACAAAATATCGGCCGTTTAGAATTCTTTCAAGGTTCCGGATTACGTTAACAACCACAGAATACAAGAAATAAAAACAACAAATATAACTGGAATAGTTGCCGTTTTTGGCTTGAAATGTGAACAGTATTTAAGATGGCGGTCGTCCTACCTTTTATGGATGGGTCTGAGGTTGTTACCGAAGGTGGCTCGGTACTCGATGGACCGCGCGACGTCCTGGGGCGGGCAGGACCCATCTGGGCCAAGGACGGGCTCCACCGGCCGCTCGGCCATGGCTGGACCGCGGGGGTCGTGCGGGGCAGGGGGCTGGGTCCACTGTCCGGGCCCGCCGGTCGCGAATAGCCGAGTCTTCGGTAAGACCGCCTCTCCTGCACTGTCCTGGTTGACAACTGTAACGACATCGACCGTAGAAAAAGATCAGTCCTGTGCTAAAAAAAAACAACAACCACGACTTTGATTTTTAAAATAGGGTCTTCTTGTCACTTGACACCAGTTGAACGACGTTAGCTATAGCTACAGATACCACCCTAACCACAACCAATTGTATTTGCATTGTTCCCATTCTAACGCAAAAATAATTACTTCTTGCTTAATTTTATGTTTAAAACTTCTGAAAAAAAAAACACATATCCATGAAGTTGTCACCTGTGTTTTGTTGTGATGGGGCAGACCACTGCATGTCTTCCTGTGGTTTTTCGACGATCTCTTTCTTGATGTGATGATCGAGCGGCCGATCATTTCCGATGGGCAGTTTTTGCGGAGAGACGGGGGGCGACGGGAGCATGCTCGCTGTACTTGTAGGTATGGCGTGAGGGTGCTGGTTGTGCGCTTGTGCGGCCGGGTAAGGCGGCGGCGGCCTAGCGGTGGTGGTCGACTCCGGCTTAGCACCTCGCCCCGGCTCGGGAAAGGTCTGAGCGGTTTGGTGGTTGCGGTACAACAGTTGGAGAGACATGTACAGAACGGTGGCGAGGCGGCGGTGACCCACCATCACCGGACTTGACGGCGGGTGGAATTGCCCGTCGCAGACGTCGCACAGTAAGAGCGCGCTGCCGCGGTTGTAGGCAACACAGGCCGCATCCAGGCAAACCCAGTTCGCCTTCTTCCCGCCGCAGCCGCCGCACTGCATTTCACGGGACTTTCGGTCAAAATCGTTCGCTTGCATGAGGATCCACTCTGCTCGGGACCCCACGTACGGAGAAGGGTTCGCGCCTTCCATCTTGTTAGAAAACTTGTCTTTCTGTCGATGTTGTCTGGGGAGCAATTTTGTACACTGAAGGACCTTATCGGCACGTGACATGCTAATTTTGGCGGGAAAAGGCCACAGGAATACAAAAGCTTGGTTACCGTGCATTAACCCAACTTTCCTACTCGCTGACAAATCGTCCTAATACTTCATTTGTGTAGTCAAAAGGATGCCAAGTCTTGACGTAATAACAACTGCACATCAAATGATTGACATTAAGAATCAAAGTGTCCGGATACACAAAAAAATATGACGAAAACCAACAAAAATTTCGGGCCGGCTCTGACTGCATAGAACAGGCCATGATTCCAATAGTTAACACGGGTCGTATTGTCTTTGGACTTACGACATTTAAAATCTGGAGTAAAGAAACATATATAATTCTTCAGAAGCTAGATAAACTAGTTCATTACCATAAACTTAATCAACATGACAAACTGACATATATATACAACCACACTGGGCGTGGTGGTTTAGACATCATTATATATATAACAATAACTAAAACACCACGCCCAATGTGGTTGGGAGGAGCATTTGTTACTAGCTTCAATCGCTATCGCATTGAAAATGTACTTCGTAAAAACGGGATTTGATTTCTGGTAGAATTCGTTTATTTGGCTTGCCAATTGCGCAAGGTATTGTTTTAGGCTGAGTTAAAAGAAACGTGCGCCAATTTTTTCATTAAGTGCCCTTACGCTCTCGTGCATAATGCAAAGTGGGTCACCAAAGCTGGTTTGACTGGTTGCTGTTGCTATCGGAGAAGAATGCAAACAACAGTAATCTTTCACAAGGTTTCTTCTCTTTATCTTCAAGCCTAAAACTTTGGAGAAGGCGAAGTTTTAAACTCATACAGAAAAAATACTGTTTGAGATACATGTGTTGGACCCAATGCATTCTTTTTTAAAAAGAATACTTCAAATATTTCGTTACTCACAATGAGCTCATGGGAAAAGAGGTATGCAATTTCATGCATGAAATGTCAAACTCCATTCAAAGTTTTTATCTTGTCTATATTCTTCTTCTGAGGCCTTGTAACTGCTATTTCTGGGGTAGGTCATATGTTTTTTTTAGTACTAAGAACCGAACAAAATTTACAATAAGATGGTACATATGGTAATTATGGAAGGGTTGATGCATTTCCCAAGAGACAAACAGTAATCACATTTAACTACACAGCGATTTTTTCTTTACCCAGTGTGCCTATCAATACCCTGTGTATGTACCATTATAAAACCACTGTCAGCCAATCAAATGGATTCTTTCAACAGAGGACAATTCTCTTTTTTTAATTACCCACTTAGTTCAGCCCATGCACTCGTCCGACATTAGGTAGTGTGAGTGTGTCCTACCCTAACGTATCGTTTTCCAACATTTTTTTTCGCAATTTACGATATATACATGCTCATTTTGCAGCTACTTTGTACAATTTACAGCATGGTTGAAAACTTTGTTAATTTTTTTTCAAAATGGACGAATATTCATGCGCGCGTGGATGTCATCCACATAATCGACTCAACATGGCTTCTGTTTGGAGGCTACAACATGTTAACGGGGGTTCATTGACCTACCCAAGAGTTCGTGCCCCTTGCACAATTATATGCTATACATATACACGTATAAAGATGTACAAGTGATTCATACACACCTCATGACGCTATCTCTTTGTTAGGTTAGACATTGTACTCAATAGATAATTATCAGAGCCCTCTAGGGTGTACAGACACCACTATTCACCCCATGCCGGCGCACGTGCGCATTAAGAACGTTACAACTTTATTTGCAAAGTCATGCCCGAAGGCTAATAGACTGATTTTAAAGAGTCAAAGATAGTACAGTACAATAATAATAGGAAACAGACAGATACTGTCTGGAAAAAAAATTCTACCACTACGCTTGTTATTATGCGGTTTGACTTCTTCTTTAAACCTAAAATTAAAGGCAGTGGATAATGAATAGTCCCACATTCTGCATAATGAGTGGGTTTTGTGATCTTAGTAATAGTGGAATGTCTTTATAAGAAACGTAGTCTTTTGGTGATCTTCTATATTGTGAAAGGATGGAAAAATTGTGACAATTGTTTGAAATAATCTGTTTCTGATGGTCTCATAGTGAGGACAATGGCTAATTTAATTTTTCACTGCATTCATGGGGCAATATTTACATAATCTATCGTGAACAGGTCTCGACCCCTTCCTATTTCTAGTTTAGTGTGACCTATTCTTATCGCCCTTCAAACTCATGGTGTTCCACGTACCCAAGTTCAGATTAGCCTCCTTCACAGACTTGTTGGGCGGCGGCGTTATTTTTTTTCGGTGAGCGACGCGAGATATAATCCCGCGAACGGACGACTTTGCCGCCGAGGGAGTTTTGACGCGGAGAGAAGGTTTCGCGCTCGCGTCGCTCACCGAAAAAAAATAACGCCGCCCCCCAACAAGTCTGTGAAGGAGGCTAAGTTCATCAGATAGTGATGTACAAAATTCTATGTCTAATCTTGAGGTGGCGGCTAGGCCAATGCTGGCCAATTGAATAGTGTCTTGCCGATTTCTATGTTTTTGTACCATTTTAAGATAATTTTACTAGCGATACATTATGTTGACCACAGCGCAATTCAGGCAACCAGGAGGACTGTCTGCAGAGTCTGGTGTCTAGGATCTGTGGGCTCTGTATATACTGTATATATACCATGCACCAATGTATTATATAAGCCATTCATTCATTCATGTGTGTGTAAAATATGGGTATAGATTTATCAGGACTTTAAATGGTGTAAACTTCATGTGAAAGGTTTAAGTGGACGAAAATTCATACATTAATCAAATCAACATAGTCTATGCAAGGAGGTTAATGACCTCCTTGGCCTTGATAAGAATCGTCTGGAAATTAGTACAAAATGCCAACTGGTACGATCGCGAGGGTTCGTTGACCTGCCTCTTTCGCAGTTATATGCCACACGTGCAAATGTATAAAGATGTACAAATGATTTATACATACCTCATGTGGCTATCTCTTTGTTAGGTATAATACCGTAATTAACAGGTAATTATCATAGCCCTCTAGGCAGAGCAGACACTGAACCATGTCTGCACATGTGCACATTCATATCACGAATAGCACGCATACCAAATGTTCATTGATATTCTGTAATATTTCAGTTCGCTTTCTTTCTTGATGTTAAGAGATGTCATATAGACTTTAAAAGCTAGCCACCGCCACAATAGGTTTTGCCACCTGTTGCGATATTGAAAACCACTTTGTTAAACAAACAGCGCCGCCTTGCGGTTTCGCCGCAAACTAGATACGTATGCAAAGGTGTTCGACGGCGCTTGTAACCTGAGTCTCCCAGGTAGCCAGGTCCATTATTTCCACGTCTCTTTTTGAATGCCCGAAAAAGGGCGGAAAACGTGTCATGTTTCCCTTATAGCGTTTAACGACTGGCGTTATGTCAACACACGGCTTGACGCGCACCAAGAAAAACACTCCAGCTTAAAACTTTCCCGCTGCACGGTTTCACAACCTTCCATGCGACATGAAGGATGTGGTAGACGGTTACAAGATCTTGGACAAGCTGTCACAAGGACATTTCGGCGCGGTGTTCAAGGCAAAACACAAGGAATCGTCAAGAACGTACGCATTGAGGCTTGTCGAGTGTGACACCTTGACGGGCGCTAAGGAGGCGACGGGGCACTTCAACAAACTTAAGGAACTCGACGACTGTTGCGCGATTCTCCCTTACGTGGATGCCTTCACAGATATCCAAGACCTGAACGTCTACGTCTGTGTGGCGACGCCGTTCGAAGATGGACCGACGCTGAACGACTACGTCCTTCAACGCGAAGGCGTGTCCGATCAAGAACTCGGAGTGTTGTTGTGTGACTTAAGCGAGGGGTTGGCTTTCTTACACAAAAACAACGTCACCCATGGCGGCCTTACGCCGAGCAACGTTCTTCTGTGGACGGACGACTTTTTGCAGACTCGTGCCAAGATTGCAGACTTCGGCATGGCCAGAGTGTGCGAACATCTCGAAGAATGGACTTACGGTGGCAACGTCTACAAGTATTTCTTTAAGAGGCAGCTTGGGGCGGAGTATTTTCTCCCACCCGAGTGCTGGAGGGGGACAGAAGTGGAATCGTTAGAAAGAGTGGACGTTTTCTCGTTGGGAGCTGTGATCTGCGCAACGCTACTCCACACAAGTGTGAACGTTGAAAGTAGAAGAATTCTGGCCTGTTTCGTCTTGAGCGGGGAGGGACATTTACCGCTATGGCATAACGGGGCGGCCGAGGTGCTGCAACTGCCGGCAACGCCTATCAACTCTCTGCTTAGAAAAATGCTCAAGGCTGACCCAAAACAACGTCCTGACGCCGGAGAAGTCTTACACGTCGTATCTGACTCTTTCGGCAAAACTACCGCCAAAGCATACAGACCATATGCCAGGACAAGGCGGGTTTGCTACGGATTTATTGCAGTGCTCGCAGCGGCGTTAGCAGTTGGAGTGGGGGCTTGGAGCACGGGCATGGTCGAGTTGTAACAATTTGTCAGGAGACGCAAGAAATGCCTTTATACTCAGTAATGCCAGCAACAACAACACGTAACTTGTCCACCAAGAGTTTCATAACCCCTCCCTCATTAGCATACGTGCTTATTTCCCTAGGTCCTTGGTCACATTTAAGTTAATTGAACCAAGGACGTTCTATGATAAAACGTCCTTGATTGAACACCTGTCCTTACCGAGCGGGGACAGGTCTAGCGTTGTGAAGTACATGTACACAAAGAAGTAGTAAATTCAACTTAAGTTGACGCAAGAAAGATAACTTAACAGGAAATAGGAATTTATCATAAAGAAATATGTTACCTTTGAAAAACACGGATGGAGTCAATTATAAAATTGTATCAAACCCAGGTTTTTCGTAAAAAACGTATACTGTTGTGAATGTGAAATGTTTGCCATTTAGTTCACCACACATTGTAACTAACAAGTAGTCTTTGTACAGGATTTGTATGCCCAAGTATATCCTGTAGCTACAATAAGTATACCAAAGGGGTGCAATAAACATTTCTTATACAAACAATTTAAACAACATCCTCACAATCTGCTTCAGTGAATATCTTTGACACAAGACAACAGCATATGTAGAAAAAGATACTTTATTTTTGATATTGATATTTGCATGCATAAAACACACACTGAAAAGATAAAACGTTTGCTGCAAAAGATCAATTGTATTTTCAGGAAACACAACCAAGAAACAGATCTAGAATTCTCTATATTGACTTTAAAATCTGTACACTCTGTTGATAGATACATATATATCTTGGGCTGTATATAAATTTTCAACAGTCTGGAATATACAAATCTGATATGTATTCTCAGCAATTTTCACAAGTAAAAGCAAAGAATCAGACCCAATAATACTGCATATAGTCTGATGTGGTCCAATGATTGATCAGCTTACGCTAACTTCCTTGCTACGCCAGAAACAGCCTTTGTGATTGGATGAAAATTTTACTTGACACCTGTTACAGATGGGGTTACTTAGTTTTGGATGGGCCATTTTTTTTAATTTGACAGGGTTTTTCAAATAAAATCTTTCTTCAAAAGCTGCCTATCTTAAACAAGGCGTTTTGCCTATGTCATGGTCTCACAATGCAGTTCTGCTCACCTAACATAAACCTGTCTATCATAGAATCACTAGCAGACACCATCTTATGGAACTGCATCAGGAGACACATTTTGGTAATTTTCAGAGAGTTTGAACAGTTTAGGTCTTGCTAGTTCTTTTTACAGCACACTTGACAGTAGCAATATTTATTCATTTCCTGACTTCATAAGTGACAATTGACCCTCGAGGCCCTTTTCATAGGGTTTCAGAGGTGAGGAGGTAACTTGACAATGTAAGCAAAATCTACTACCATATTTTCCGCAATGTCACATATATCTGCCACCATGAAGAAAATGCATCTAAGGAGATCCCAAGTGCAACGTTCCCCTGTATAATGCACTCCTGTATATCTAAGCTGTGCATTCCTGGGGGTGCTACATTAGATATCTCTAAAACACACAGTTTTTCCAAGTGACAGATATATGTAACATGGCAGATGAATGATGATAGAGGTTACATGTATTTGCTTTCAATGTTTCTTTATAGCCACTGCATTCCTATGATGAGGAAGTTGATTCAGCTGCCCTTGTTGCCTTTAATCAGTGCCAGCAGCAGTTTCTTGTGGTCCCCTGTGCAGCTGTCCTCCACGACCTCTGCTAGTGCCTGACCCTGCTGGTCCTTGAATAGTCGCTTGATTTCCAGCAGATCCACCTGTGGGAACAGACAAATCAATAGTGATGACTTTTACAGACAGCAATCATGTAAAGTAGTTGTTGGAGTCTAGTAGTTTGGTTTGGTTTGGTTTTCCTTTAATACCCATAATCATGATAATGATCATTCTTGCATACTCATTTTCACCTTAGCAAAGTGAGGAAAGTTGTTTTAAGTGCCTTTCACAACAGGCAGGATTCAAACCCCAGATCTCTTGGTTCTGAGCTGAATGCTCTGCTGTTACGCCACAAGACCCCACAGTAGTCCAGCTTAAACAACAGGTGGGGTAGTGGATTTTTGGGGGCAGACTACAGCTAAAAAAACTGGCCCAGGCCAATTGCTATTTGGACCAAGAAGTCATGAGTTTGAACCCCGGCTAATTTTTTGGCTCACCTAACATGCAAGCTCCTGACTAGAAAGACTTGTAGTCATTTGGTCTAAAATACACCTGATACTTGATACTAACCCAACCGATTCCATGAAATTCTTTTAAGAAAATCCATATGAGAAGCACTTGCACAAACTAACATGATGAAGACTTACTTCTGATCTTGTCACAACAATGCGCATCAAGGTGTCCTCATCCATTCCTTCGCTGCCACTAACAGCATCTTTAAGTCTGCCAGCAAAGAATTTGGCAGGGTCCTTGAGACAACGCACTGTGGAAGGAAAATCAAGAACATATTATATAGAACCAAAAAATAACAGACTCACAAGAGACTGATGGACAAACTTGGCTTCGTTGTGTCTCACGTATTTAGCCAAACAAATCCCTACTCTTCTCAACATTTTGTTGTTGTTTTTTTGCTGCGCGGCTTTGACACCATAACCTGCCTGATACACAGAACCACCGGCTTTACGTCTGCATCCAACATGACAACGAGACTCTTTTACAGTCAAATCCAGTACCAAGGGCAGGCCCGGGCTGCTGGCTCCATGGAATTTGAACCAGACATATATATAAATGGCGAGTAGCAAAGTGCACGGACCACTTTACCAATACGATTTCAGTAAAACTCACCAATGGCAGCAAAGCCCACTTTCTGGTCATCTGGCATCTCAGCCTCTATAGTCTCCAACAGCTCTCTGCCCGAAACCTGTGCGGGTAAAATAAGTAGTGCATGTAATTATTATCTGCTTATAAACATCCAAATTACAGATCAGAGAGGACAGTCCAATACTTGATAATAATAATCATCCTACTTGCCAAGAACAACTCTACATAAGGCAATTTATGTCATTTATGTAACATAATTATTATAGCTACAAGCCTAGGATATTTGTTCTGATTTAATTTCTAATCTAGTTTCTGTCAGGATCTTTGAAATTCCTCTGCATCTCTTTATATTTTGTTTTGTGCAATAAAAAAAAAACACTTTTGGTTCTTTCTCTTGATCTCACAGTAGAAAGACTGCTGAGCCTAGACTTTTTTTCGACAAGCTGTGGGGTTGCTTATATGACAGTGCAGTGCTTGCACAACTGTGTGACCCATTGTTACAACAAGGGACATGGGTAAAGCCCTATTTACTGAAAGGTGTGAGAAGGATTTATACTGGTCTATAATAACTATCTTTGGTTATGACCTCTTGATGACCTCCTTGTAAAATGACCAGAAAATTGCTAAAACAAACAGCATATTCCTTTGATGTAAAAATGCATGCAATTATCTTTGATTACCTTCTTGACAAACTGCAAACTAATGACCATAATCACAGTAATTACAAATGGAAGTAATTGAACATAATACAGACTGAGTGGTGCACTTTAAACGCTTAAGCATTGTAACAGATAATTAGCTATCTTAATTACGTGCAACATTGTTCCTTTTTCAAATCTACAAGAAAACCAACGACAGTAGTTTAAAGTTTCTAACTCTCAAACACAGCTCAGTATAATGTTGACTATAGAATAGTGTGATACTAAACATAAATAAAGCACAGTATCAAAACCTTTAGTTTATGTCAAACTTTGTTCTTATCTTATATCATCATTATTCAACACCACGTTAAAAGAAACTTACAAAGTTTGTAAAAGTGTCATATGCATTATCTCATACCAGCAATTTTATCTATAAAAGGGGCATTATCCATTATATCCAAATAATTACCTTTTTGTAAGCTTGCAGTGTTGCTTTAAGTTGAGGTACACTTCTGTTTGCCAAGATGTCTACAATCCTGGACCTGTCGTTGGCACCTAGCTTGTCCTCCTGTATAGCAAAAGAAGCATACAGATCATACAGATTTTTTACTAGCAATGGTTATAAAGCAAATGTTTTCAAAAGTCAACAAACTAGTTGGACACACCTTTCATAATACTGGTTCCTATATCATGCAAAATGTAGTCAGTTGAAGTCACTCTTTTTCACTGATATGTCAGAAAAATTATCATCAGTAGACTTGGTTAAATGATTGATACTTCCTGCCTCCCAACTGTCTGGAATACTTTCCATGTGACTGATACAAAAAAATCTTGCTAACACTAAAATTGGCAACATAATGTTACATACCTCGTATAACTCATGAGCATCCTCCTTGGCTCGTGATTGGTCAACCTTGCCCCTCTCCTCTCTGTCACCCTAATGTAGAATGACAGAAAATACTTATGCAATGCCATGTATTACAGCTAATTGATACTTTTCAACTTTTTACACAGTTTTACACACTTGTATTACATTTAAGATAGGACTTAGTATGCAAATATATCAAACAACCATCAATGCTTCCAATAGATAACAACATCTGGTTCAACAACAACAACAACTGTTACACATTATACAAGAAATAATTTAAAAAGATGGCTGACCTTGGTGAGAGCCAGTAGAAGGTCAGCCAACCTGTCTGTACTGCAGGCCTTCAGATCATCCAGTAGATTACGGGAGAACACTTTTGGAGGGAGGGAGACATGTTTATTGTACATTGTATCAGCAAAATCATTTCAATTGGATAGGTCACAGCAAGCTTGATGTTTGACAAAGAAGATGTTAACTTTTATGTTGTGTACAAATGTATGTCAGCACTGTGTATGCCAGTCTGTACAAACAATAAAAGTACTCACATTTCTTGTATGTCTCTCGCATTGCCCTGATTTGCTGAAAAAGATGAAAAACAGACATGATTTTTCGAATGGTTGAGCTTAAAACCAAAATCTAATACCAAGTCTATAAATTCACAGGGAAGGATGCAATCAGGCTATAACTGTCACTGGGTTCAGTGCCCTAAAATGAAAGATTACAGACGGTATAGTAGGGTGTGACAAACTTTTATTCTACAAAATTATCTTGTTTTACAAGTAGTACAGCTAAAAATTACAGTTTTACAGTCTGTTAATTTACAATAACTAATAGAGACATTACATGCAGACAGCAATGCCATCAGACTTGTGTAACTTATTATAATAGTGAACCTACTTTGTTACTTCTGGTGCACAGTATCCCTGCAAACACTGCTTTGCTGTTGTCATCATTAGCTTGAGTTGCCTTGTGCATGGTCCAGGCATCAAAGTCAGACCTCGGAGTCAGCAGCATCACAAGTAAGTCATCATAACTACTGCCCATCTCTGCCTTCAGGTCCTGTAAGATGTCCTGTGCATGCAGAAAATATGCCATTTTTTCACATTAAATCCTAGGAATAGAAAGGGAATATATTTCAAAAGAAAAATATGGCCGCAATGAACTTCTGTCAATCTCCAAGCTAAGCATAAAAGAATATTTGATGCCGGAAGATTTTTTCTGTTTTTTCAATCCACATGTATTTACTAAGTAAATATATAGATATGGATATATCTCTTATCAAGAAGAGTAGGGACAACCCAGTGTTTTGGCTATAAATGCCAGCTGTAGTGCCTTATAAGCTACTTGAAAAAGCATCATGCTCAGTAATAACTGTTGAAGATGACTGACTTTCTTGAATGTACATGTTCATGTATCTGCCACTTTTTTATCTTTCAAATGAAAAGGAACAAATGTTGCTTCACGCAGATATGTTGTATTGTCTGTGGAATCAAAACATCTACTAAACACAGTTGAAGTTACCTTGCTGTACTTTGCCTTGTACTGCTTCTTGACCTGCTGTCTCTGGTCATGTGACCTGGATGACAGCAGCTTGATGAGCGGTTCCTCGTCCGTAGCTGCAAAATGTTAGTTAGTTAGTTAGTTAGTTAGTTTTATTAGGATCTCCATTAGAGTTACATTTGTACATTAATTCTTTCAGGAGTCTGCAAGGGCTAATACAAGATGGTGGTTTCCACCCAGATGACATGTAGAGAACAACTTCCAGTCGTACATGTACAATGTATTTGGACCATCATACACCAGGGCAATTGCTCCTACCCTACATTTTTTTTTCTGCAAAATGTACTGTCTGGTAATATTGGCTCCATTGAAATACACAGTGGGCATTTACTGTGGAACTGGAATATTAACAATTTGTCACATTTGGTGTTTATCAAAACATGAGACATACCCCATCCAGATATGGCATTCCTGAAGTCTTCACAGTCCCTGTCCACATGGAATCTCTTGGCAGGAACAACACTGGCTTCAGCCTAAGTGGATAAATGAGAAAAGAACACAATATTTGGTTACATTCTGGATTGTCACAATATATTATAATACAATCATGTAGTTGTTATATTGTACACACTTACATACAGCTGGTAATGATCCAGAATTATTGTTTAAATTTGTTTGTATTGTGCCCTTCTAGATGATGACTTAAATCAAAACTTGAAGAATTGTGCAATGACTGGTTACAATATACATGTTTGAGGCTACACATAAAGGAAATCAGAAATTTGGTGGTAGGCTAGTTGAAGTGATACTATATATGCTTTATGTTTAGAATTTATTGTTCATGCTTTGTGTCCTGATCTTAGAGTTAATCATATTAAGGTATGAAATTTTAGAAGGATGGATATGGAGGACTGGTGAAAGTTATTATATCATGGTGTTATAACAATGATATGTAAGCGAAGCATATTCATGCAATTCCAGACTGTGCTTGTGGATACTAGTTTGTTGTTTACAGTGCACTGCATCCATTCTGATACCTTCTTTTTTCTCCAGTATCATCCTTGCAGCATTCCTAAATTCTCATGTATATCTTCTCTGTTCTATAATACTGACAGTGTTTACAGTTGTTCTTCAACATTCAACCACTTCAGTATGAAACTTAGTAAAACAATTAATAATAAGTACAATAATTGTTATGATTATGATTAACAATTAAACCAAGGAGGTTTTTAAACATCCATGATCACACAAAACTAAAATCTTAATTTGCAATACAACACATAACACAAATAGCTTTAACACACAAGCCATACAAGACAACACAGCACTGTTTAACAGCCAAGCACTGTAGTGTTACAATGTTCTTGATCTTGTCTTATTGTGCAACAGCACATATGAAATAGTCAAATAAAAAGTCAAAGATGTACCATATCACAACATGGTGAACTTGCTGAAATAAATGTGTGTTGCATTAATTACTATACACTGTAAATGTTATAATGACTAGAGATATTACCTGTACTGATCATACACCAAAGTCACGAGAAGATACAAATTATGAACCTTTAATTTAACAACAAAAGCTGTATCGTGCCCATCTTTGTTATTACTGGCCGGAACAACTGGAAATGATCAACATTTCTGAAAAGTATAAATTGGACGAAAAGCCACACGTTATGAATAGGCCTGGCTATATGAATGTTGTCAGTCCCATATTTCTGAGGTTATATTGAGTCTCTCTATATATTCACAAGAAAAATTAATAGGGGAAATATTTCCACAAAACTTTAAGTTATACAGATTGGCAAGAGACAGCTTTTGTTGGATAGGAATCGGAAGTAAGAAAACAAAAATCCTCAAATTATGTAACACTGCAGTGCTTGTGTTCATCCACTTCAGATTTCTCTACAGAACTATTGCTGTCTGATTCCCAGTCAAACTCATCATCTTCTTCTTCATCCTCCTTTTCTTCTGCAGAAAACTGCTCTTCTTCTGGTACCTCCTCCTTTTTAGAGTCTTCAGGTTGGTTCACTATCACGTGTACTTCTATTGGGGACTCCAAAATGGTCACTTTCTTTGTTGGTTTGACAGGCATCTGTGTGAGCTGGTCTTCGTCTTTTGCTTCCCCATTTTCTTCTTTCTCTTCAGAATCTGTTGATCTCTCAGACACTGTTTTCTCATTCTGCTCTTTGTCTACCTCTTCATTGACATCTTCAACATCTTTCTCCTCTTCAACAGTTTCTAGAATACTGGTTTCCTGTTTTTCCTCGTCCTTCCAGTCTTTGTCTTCTTCAACATCTTTCTCATCCTCAACAGTCTTTACAATACTTTCTGTGTCCGTCTCTTTCTGCTTTCCCTCATCTGTGCCGTTTTCCAGTTCCTCCTTGCCTCCATTGTCTTTGCCCTCCTCCAGGTTTCTGACTTCTTCCTTGTCAAGTTTTTCCATCATTTTCTCAAGTGCCTTTTCAATTATCTCATCTAAAATACAACATGCTATGGTCTCCCTCTCATTGTCCATGTCATTACTGTTTAATTCTTCCTGTCCTCCCTGCTCTTTTTCATCTTTTCCATCCCTTTCTTTGGTACAAGTAGATCCATCTGGGCTTGGGTAAGACGTAGAAAGACAGGCAGGTGCACTGTTGATGCGTGACGGCATTTCTTCTGTGGACGTGTCCTCCGATCCATCTAAGTCCTCGCCTCCATCACCCTGATCGCTTCTCCCACTGTCGTTTTCTTCCCGCTCCTCCACCTCCTCAACGCTGGGTAGCGACACCTCCAGGGAGAGGCCGCGGTTTTCCATCATCCACGCGGCAACCTTCCATGCGGGAGGACCTTTCCTGATCAGATCCTCCTGAAACCTCTACAGGAAAAACCACATCATAGCTCATGGCAGAACTTGGCCTGTCCTTTGTATATAAATGTCCTACAATTCAAAATTGATACAGTGTCCCAACGGAAGAAAAACACAGTTTTAGCATGAAAGCATTATCTACTTTTGCTGGAAAAGTGCATATTAAGATGTCATTTATAAACTCATAATTTAATGAAGACAGAGTTTTAAATTCTTCTGCTACAAGACTTTAGAACAGTTACTGTATTGTACATGCATGACTGAGTGCTTTACAAAGGATCTTGCTTTACTTAACAGTGCATAATTTAATATATGATTAAATAGGGAATTTATATGCAATACCTCCAGGTAGACACCAGACTCATCCTTGCAGCAAGTGAGAAAATAAAAGTCTAAGTACAACAGGAATTTGTATTATCATAAAAAATATATAATATATAAAGAAATTATTAACACAGTGACTGTTATGATATCCTTATGTGTATGATATCACAATAACATGATAGTGTATTCTTAACAGGCTAGGCTCACATTTTATTACAGCACTGTAAATATGTTTAAATCACACCTGACACAAATTGGTAACTGTATCTTAATCAACTAATATCAAACGTAGATATGAAAAAATAAGTTTAAAGAGAATTGTTTGCTAAAACATTTTAACAGTGGGAACAGGTACTAGCTTAGAGTGACATTCTCACCAAAAAGAATCTTACAACATCGATACATGTAACTTAGCAGAAGGTCTTAACTTTAAATTCATTCACCATGAAAACCTTTCTTCTGCATATACTCTGGTGGTGCACTGGTGGAAGTAACTTGCACCATGCAGACAAATTTTACCTGCACCACTCAGAAGTTAGGAATGGATTGTACTAAATCATACTAGAAACCATTGGCCTTATTTCTTTTATACTCCATAGGTGGTAACTTCCAACAAAGCAAATAAAAATCCATATACACCTACATGCATATATAAAACCAGTACATAGACCAGTGCATGTTAGGTGCTGGTCGACATCAGAAATATCCGCACAGTATACCTGAACTAACTTGCCTATCTCCAGCCCTGTTCACAAAAGACAAAATACATGTATTGACAAACACACATGATTATGAAACATAAAATTTGCAGCCTTACCTGTGTTTTCCCCTTCCCTCTATCCCTGTTCTCCTTGTCGCTACCATTCCTCCCTCCTTCCCCTCTATCATTCGTCTTGTCGAATGACTTCTCCCTCTGTGCAGCAGCCAGTGGCCTGTGGGAGGGCTGGGCCAGGGGGTTGTTCTTGATGTCCACAGGTTTGGGAGGAGGGATGGGCTGGTGGCGTAGTGGTCTGAGTTGGGGAGGGGCGCGGTGGATGACCATGCCATTGATTCTCTTCTGTGACTGGACAAGCAAGATTCACAATCATGTCATTCTTTCTGTTTGAACATGTAATAATTATGGTCTTTCAGAGTGTAAAGGGATGCAAAATTCCATCTTAAATGAAACAGGGGACAAAAATTCTTACCTTTTTGTTTCCATCCTGGCCTTCAGGAACTACAATGGCAAAAATGCACATTATACCAAGTTCAGTCACATTGTGAATCAGACAAAGATTAAAATCATTACCAGAGAGTAACTTTAAGCTCTTCATGGATTCAATGAGACTAAAATTCTTACTGTTATTGTCTTCGTCAGAAGGACTATGAAATTGTCTCGCCGGAGTGTGGGGAACTGCGGATTTTGCGATATAACTCTGGAAGGCATGATTCGACGTCCATGATTTTTGGCAGGCAGATTACCGCTGTTAAGGCCGAAGTCAAGTATAAGTTTGGGCTTCGTGGGGGGTCCGTGCGTCACGTTAGTGCACCTTTTGTGTTTGTGGCTTGTTAGCAAGATAACTCAAGTATTTGTAAAATGTTGATTATAATTCTTGGTGTGGTGCTTACTATTGTTGGGACCAAGGTTAAGTTCGTTACTGAGCTTCATGGGGGGTTTCGTTGTGACTACAGGGGGCATTTTGTTAATTTTTCTTGTGAGCAGGATAACTTTTGTATGTGTGGATGGAAGTTAATGAAATTTGATAGGCATTTTACTGTGATGGTCTCCAAGATTGAGTTCAAAGATGAGAGTCGTGGAGGTCCTTATGTCCCCGTAATAGGACCTTTTGTGTTTAGAAATCCCACCTACATCTGCTTGGAGACAGCCGACAGCTGGATATAGCTGGGGAACCCCATAATGGGATGGGATCAAATGACGTTACATTGAGGGATTGTACTATAACTTCAGCAGGGGGAGGATAGGTTGGACATATGTCAGGTTATTTTCTACGGCCACACCAAGCAATTGCTATGGATGACGTCCACTGGAGACCTTAAATCTAATTAAAACACGAAGGGCCGAAAAACGAGATGCCTAGATTTGGAATATACTAACTGTAGAAGTACAAATGTTAGGACACAAAGAACACAAGAAACAAGTCTTCTATTTGTCATAAAGACAAATTAACAAAACAGCAGTAGTCACCCTGTTCTGATTCTTTCCTTTATAACATCTTCTCTTATTATATTTTGCGGCGCTGTCGTGACACTTTCAACACAGTAAGAATTTCTTGAACGTTTTTTTTTTCCCAGTAACAGTCCAAACTCAAATAACGTAGGAGGGGGGGGGGCTAACACGGGTAACGACGCATCTGTGTAATCTGCGGCAAACCGTTTCAGGGTGTTCTGTACCATAAAAATAGTACAGAGATTCTTTTGTTCTTTAGACCAAATTGATTATTAAAAAGAGTGAAGAATGCCCATGTTAATTTCTCTAGAACGATGTACCTCTGACGAAGACATGAGATCTCCGACCTCTAGTATAAAAATGATATTGAGAGAGAGATTCTATGAACTATTCAAATACAGTAAATGCTATTCAGGCATTTAATGATATTGGGTATAACATACCAAAGCATTGTTAAAAAAACATTGGGAAAGTACAAATACAAGAAAAAATGCAAAGAAGAAGAAGAAATATCACACGTTGGCTATCTACTGACCTCTGACAAGGTCGACCAAGATGGGCTTGTACGGTGCACTGACATAACCCTCAAGGTCATCCATGATTGTGGCACCATATGCCTTCTTGTATGCCTTCCTGATCAAAGGCATGTCCGCCTGGAAAAACAACAATGTAAAAAATACATTGTGTATTTTTGATTACAAAGGATGTTTCCTGATATTACTGATGGTGTTGTGTCTCTATAGTTTGGAGATTTTTGTACCCAATAACACAATTTGATCTGTACTTCATAATGACATGGATTATCACAGTTATCTCACAGGCTTCCAAACTTTCCATTATCATAAATATTATGTACTTTCGACATTTCAGACACCAAATTCCAATGCTGGAATGTTGTTACAATTTTTGGTTCAGGCACAACAAATTTTCTGAACTTCTGGCACATTTTGCAGCCCATTTCACATTAAAAAGAGTGTTTTCCAGGGGGATAACAAAAACTTAAGAAAATACAACACTGACCTGCATTTCAGCACCAAGGACAAGCCCAGTTTTAACAATTAATCCCACTATTATAAGGCTTTACAAATAAACTATGATTGAATAGAATACAGTACAGGGTTTTCTGCATTACCTTCGGTCTAAGCCCTACCACGATTCGGCCTTTGGCCATTGGGCGATCAGACCAGCATTCAGGCTGGTACCTTGGGTGATACAGAATAACCTGTGTTGTAACCTATGTAAGCATACTTTGTAAAGCCTATAGTGTGATTGATTTTCATAAGAAGAAAGCAGAACAAGGCTGTTAAGATGCTTTTACATGTTGTTAAAAGTGGGCTTGTCCTTGGTGCTGAAATGTAGATCTGTACAACACACATGAATATGTCACACTTTCAAACATGTACCGCAGAAAAATATGCTGACATTCGACAGATAACATAAGTAGAAGTGTGCCAGTAGTCATGGTAGGACTCACCTCTGCCCTGGTCATCAAGCACCTGATGAGGGTTGCAGAATCCCCACGTGGCCGCATGGCATGGTAGATCCTCTCCGCAAAGAATTTGGGGCAGTAGAAAATGACTTTCACTATGACAGGGAATAAACGAAATGTATCATTAAGAGATATTTAAGAGAAGAACGTTTCATCACAATTGAACCATTAATTACAAGTTAAATAATGCCTGTAACTAGCTGTGAAGTTGTAATGCCTACTATCATGTTACATGTCTGTCACCCTAAAAAATGTATCTAAAGAGATCTCCCATGCAACCTTCCTCAGTATAATGCACTCCTGCATGTTTAAACTGTGCATATATACCTGGGGCTGCTACACTAGAGATCTATCAAACTTGCTGTTTTTCAAGTGGTAGATATAACATAATGTACATTTTGTAACCAGGAAACCATCATGATGGCGGTTAAATAGAAAATACAGTTAAAAGACATGATTCATATTGCTTTTCTCTGAAAAGCATTATCACACATGAAAAGTTTAAGGCTATAACTGGGAACTGAAACAACCTTATGTGAGCCCTTACCAAGTGCCACCATTGCTGCGAGGAACTCTCCTGACAGCTCATCTTTCAGGACATCTAACATGTCAGTTTGTGCCAGCTGTCAATCAATAGCACAGGTATTACAAACAGATACACAAACGTAATGTACTGCACCCGCACAAAACCAGTAATGTATCATTTATAGCACTTAGGAAGAAAGTCTTGAGAATTTAAGGACATTTAAGGTTGTATTTGCGTATTTAATGATGACATCCATTCTATAGTTTTCAAATGTTGTGTTGGGAAAGGTTTCATTTGCAACGGGCAAAATTCTGAAGTGATGCTGGCAAAACATAAAACAAAAACAGTGAGAATCCAGGTTTTGTGCAGGTAAAGTACATTGTACTTCTGCCTATGTACTTGCTACATCCATCATAAACTCATCAGGGACAGTATGGCAGTACTGAAATGGCTTATGGTGGTAGTGAGTACTTTTGGCCAATAAATACAAAGCGCTGAAAACTTCACATCAATCGTTGATTACAGCAATTTTGTGCTTACATTAACTTATATGGCAGCTGCATGAAATCATAATCCTTAATCAAGAACATGTCATGACTTACTTATTATTAACAAATCTTTTATACATCATGGTGTCTTGTAAAATGCATATTGAAGTAAAGCCTTTACATGTAAATGTACAGCTCAGAGATATTTAGATGCTCACCTTCTCATACTCTGTAAGTGTAGCCCTGATGTGTGAGTAGCTCTTTGTAGTGATGAGAGACATCAGTTTGGAGTCACTGTCTGTGCTCCACCTGTCCTTCCCAGCCTGGGAACAAGATGATATGTCATATTTAGAAAACCTACAAGTAGTTGGTCACAACAACAGTTACTGTATATGATACTAATTTTACTAGTAGATGCTTAGTATAGAGTACACCATAAATGACAGACGTTTTGACATCAGAATCTGCAGTTACATAATACCTAAAAGAACAGGGGTGCCAAAGAATTCATATGAATTCTACAGAATTCATACAAATTTGACGGAATCCATACAAATTTGACAAAATACAAAATCCATACAAAATTCATTATGATGTATTAGAAGAAAAAATACAAATTTTTAAGAAACACATACCAACCATTACCAGGAACATACGAATTTTACGGAATACATACGATCCATTACTCGGAAATATACAATCCTTACTAATTTGGTGATCCAGGCGCAGGTCACCAATTAAAAAAATTTGTAAGGATCGTATGTTTCCGATCATAATTATGTATTCAATAGAATTCCTGACCTGGTGTAATTCCTGAGCGTCCTGTCTGGCCAGGTCCTCGTCTATCTCGTTACTCTCGTCCCTGTCACCTGCCAGCAGCCCCAGCAGCAGGTCCTGCAGCTGCCCAGATGTCTCACTGCGGATGTCATCTTCCAGGTTATTCAGGTGCTCTGAAAGATGATGTTATATTATATATATTATAACAATGTTAGAAAAACATACTAGTAGTCATGAAAGGTAGTCCCATAGCCTTTTTTGAGGCCATAGGGGCAGTGGGTTGTTAATCCACTTTGTCTAGGGCATGGTATTGGTAGGCAGAGCACACCCTCTCCTTCCACTGCCTTTTACCTCCCCAACGAAAGTCAGATATATGTGTAGTGTGTAGTCATTTGTAATGTTCCTGTAACATTTAATGATACTAGAGAAGAATTCAGTCTATGTTTCAAGAAAATCATAATGATTGATGCTGTATAAAAAAACTCAGTTCACAGTAGCAAACACTACATGTACTTTTTTTCTTTAAATCATTGCACATTTGTGTTAACAAAAAAGCAGAACAACAATTATAATTTACCATCTCTGTAAGCCTTCTTAATCTGTTCCAAAGCCTGTGGATGGTATGAAAACAAAAATCAGTCAGATGATATAGTTTGCATATCTATGAAAGCACATCATTATGTCCATTTTAATAAATGTGAAAACAGGGCAAAATGAGTAGATCTATTATATAATAGTGCAAATGGATAGTATAAATACATGTATATCAACTAAGTTAAACATACCCTATTGTTCCTTGTGCACAAATCTCAATG